AGAAAGAAAGAAAGAAAGAAAGAAAAAGAAAGAAAGAAAGAAAGAAAGAAAGAAAGAAAGAAAGAAAGAAAGAACGAGCCAGCAGGGTCATCAAGAATTCCTGAACCAATGACGGCAGTCAGCATCTCCCAGGAACGGCCTGCCTTAGTGTTCCTGCCATGCTTGGTTGTCAGGCGGGTGCAGCCCGTGGGACGTACTCATACATCCCCAGAGCAAAAGCAGCAATGGGTTTTCTCCTCAAGTAGCTGGGGGCCTCGGTTAATTGCGCTCCATGGAGTTGAAAAACAGCAGGATACCTTCTCATGGCCACCACAAGACCAGAGAGGCAATCAGGGACCAGATCTGGAAACCTGAACTCTAACCTGCAAGCCAGGAGATTCTAAACTTGAAACTCATTTCATAAATCAGCCCAGATGTCCAGCCTCTCTCAGTCCATGAACAAGACTGGGCCAGAACCGAGCCCAGTTTGACACTCCCTCTAAACCAGGCACTTCATTTACTTACGTAACTTTCCTGTCCCTGGAGTTTGGGACTCGTGATCCACTCCAACTCCCTGAATTTACCCAAGAGGAAATTAAGACTCCTAGAGCTACATGGTTACACATAAGCAAAGGCAGGACTAGAATTCAGGTGTCCTTAGAAGAAACTCTGCAATATTACCTTTATTCAGCCCACCCAGGTTTTTTTCTCTTTTTGTTCATCAGGATCTCAGGTTGGCACCACTGTTAACAGATCCTTTATGGCTACGTACCACTCCTAGATACCAGTCGTCAGCCCCACCACCACACCCAGGCACTTGCAGATGTCAAAAGGCAAGGTGTTTATTTCAAGTGCCTTATTCATTGTCACACTTAAGACTAAGTTCTCCAAGGCTCCAGAAAAACAGGAGTGGTTTTACTTTTTACTTGTGTCTTATGCCACAGGGATGTGAAGGTGAGTGGCCTTTGACATGGGTGATTCTCAGATGGTCAGGGCTGAGGGTTAGGAGGTCCTCCATCCTTGGTCAAAGAGGCTAAGCTGCCGCATCATGGGGACCACTCTTAGATTACGCTCCAGTAACTGAGTGGCACTGCTAGAAAGTCGGACCTATGTCTCCACGACACGGCCCTCCTCTTACTAAAGGGGAATACTTCAAAGATGCCTCCCTGCAATATACCACCTTCTTGGTTTTCTATACTAAAACCACAAATGATAATTCAGAACTCAATATTCTAACATAGCTCACAATATTCATTTTCACAGAATGTTAGTCATCCTATGAAATAATATTTGGGGACGTTAAAAGCCTTCTTCTTGGGCATGAAGCTTTATCACATGCAAGACTGGCCCTGACGGTTACATGTCCTTCGGTCATACTTACGGGGCCCATGGTTAACTGCTGCTCCCCACCCCTCTCCCTCCTGTCACTCATCCTAGGCCACATGACGACCGAGCCTCAGGATGCCGCCCCCTCCCACAGTGCCCTTCTCTGCACGGTGAGTAGACTAGCGCTTCGGTGGCCCGAAGTCTCAAGTATCTGCACAGGGAACCTGAGGATGAAAGATCTTTACCACTCCTCTCAAAAGTTCTGGGATAAGAAATATCACGTCTCACTTTCCCCTCGGGCAACAGCCATTCTAACACCCCGGCCCCCTCTCACTGTCAAACCAGCCTCCCAAGAATGCACTCCTAAATTCTTCCTTAATTGCAGAATATCAGCTACTCAGCAATGCTGAACAGTATCTATTAAGTCACTGGTGTGTGCCAGGCATTGTTCTAAGCGCTGGCAATACAGCAGGAAGCAAGAAAAAGCCCCCTCCTTATGTTCCAATGGGTGGTCAGTGACATATAAAGCTAAGGATAAGCTATCTCCTTGTTAGAGGTTCCCCATGCCTTACACAGACTAGGACCCACAGGAAAACTGTAGGCCATGGACAAACCCATCCGTATATCCAGACTTCTCCTGGTCATTATTATTTTCAACACATGATTTGACTGGCAAAATATTGGATTGTCGGAAGAGTCATGACGCATTTTTTGCAATGAAAAACACAGAAAAAATACATCATGACTTTTCCGACAACCCAATAAAAGGTCGACATTATCCCCTGAACACGTGACTTGGGTGGGCCACATCTACAGTTACGATCTTTAAGCTCTCCACGTACCTTTGACTCTACTTTCCATGTTTTTCTTCAGTACGTTTTCCCCACTATCTCCTCCTCCTTCGTCTGCTGCCACCAAAGCAAAGAACTCTTCCAAATTTTCACCTTCCACTTTTGCCAGGCAAAAATTACTAAACTTCAGTGTGCCGGGCCCTTCCAAGAGTATCTATAAAGATTAAAAAATAAACATGTTCAGAAACCACTTCAATTTGCCCCTTCACCAGGACCTCTTATAACCTCACTGAAGAGCTCTGACCACTGGCTTTCTCGCTTCCTCACAACTCAGAAAAGTAAATGCTTACAATGTTTTTGAAAAGCTAAAGAAAAATAAATCCAACATTTTAATAATAATAGTCAAACATTAAATTTTCCAGTCTCGAATATACAGAATGAACACGTCCTATCACCGCAGAGGGAAACTCAGGCTTTTGAGAAAGAGCAATGTATGCATATGGAACAAGCTATACTCTCCAACCCTTAGTGACAGCTGAAGAAGGATTTGAAAACCCACCTGCCAGAGGCATCATTTATGTAATATATGGTTAAAACTATGGGTTTGAAGTTAGATATCTGAATTGGAGCCCTAGGTCCCCCACTTACAGGCAGTCTGACCTGAAGGAGTCACCTAACCTTTCTAAATCTGTCACTTCACCTATAAAATGGGGAAAATTGTACTTAAGTCTTCATACTGTTGTGAAGATTGAGGTTATACAATGCAAAGGGCTTTTAATAGTGACTGGCATGTGATAAGTGCTCAAGTCTGCTAATGTAATTATGATTAGAAATGATCTGTTGATTGCTGAAACCATGCCCGGAATCAGAGTTCTATTTTATTTTTTCCTCCAGAGTCATTAAAAATATTGCTGGGAAGTTGCGATGAGTCAGGTGGCTTTTTGTTTTTAAAAGCAATTTAAAGTTTGCCCTTAACGTCTAGTTACAAATACTGAGGATGTCTGTTACAAGTCCACAGTGCCTTTTAAGCATTTTTGAGCACCAGAATCCCCTGGAAGGCTTAAGAAAAACTATTAGTTCCTACCCCAGGGTTTCTGATTCTACAGGTCTGGGGTGGGTCCAAGCACCTGCCTTTCCAATGCTACCGGTCCAGGAAAGACACTTTTAAAAAAAAAAATTGCTGGCCCTTCTTTAAGTAAATCTTTTAGACTTTGGAAGCCACAAGATCCTTATCCCGTCTGTTCAACTCTGCTGCCACCGACAATATATAAACAAAAGGGTGTGGCTCTGTTCCAATAAAACTGCGTTCACAGAAACAGGCATCTTGCCCAAATTCCACCAACCCCAGTGTAGAATCAAGGTTACACTGCAAATCAGCCTGTTTCCTAGATTATAAACAGCTGATACTAAGACCTCATTAAACAACTCCCACACGGCGGTTGGCATGCTACAGTCTCTGGGCCAAATCCCAGCCACTACCTGTTTTCGTATAGGCCTGAGCTAACAGTGGTTTTCACATTTCTCAATGTTTGAAAAAAACTAAATAAGATAATATTTCTCAACATAGGACAATTATATGAAATTCAAATTTGTGCCCATAAATAAAGTTTTACTGAAACAAAACCATACCCATGTATTTACATATTGTCTATAGCTGCTTTCAGGGCTGTTAACCACAGCTAATTAGTTGTAGACTCGAGGCAAGTTTATGAATATTACAAGTAAGAACTTATATTCGTTACACAGAGTTTAGAGTTTTTATGGAGTTTTGGGGTTTTTTTAGATTTAATTATGTTCTCATACAGATGGGCTGCAATAATGTTTAACAAGGAAATATCCAACCTTGCATTCCGTTGTCTACACATTAACAAAGAAAAAGTGGCAATTCAGACTAGTAATATGAACAATCCCTAAGAGTACATACTTATAAATAACAGATGCCACTGATGAAAGGACACAATCTACCAGAAAGTGTCCCAGAAGTTTCGCCTAAATATAATATGGAAGGCTTACAATCACCCCGAAATATCTATCTCCATATCAGAGATGAGAAACTAAGGCAGAGAGAGAAAGAAGGGTGACCTGTCCAGGGCACACAGCTTCTAAATGTCAGCACCAACTGTGACTCAGAAACTAAGAAGGTTCCGTGACTCTACACAGGAAGCACATTTAGTCATGGATAGTTTTATCAAAAAAAGAAAGAATTATCAGGAATTCCATAACATCAGGAATCATACATACATAGCCAAGAAGGCCACTATCAAACTAAAATAATGGCTGAGAATTATGTGCTATAATTTAAGAGTGAAGAGTCTCATTTTATAGATGTATTGACTTCATCATGACCTCAGCAGCAATAATAATTACTCAAAGAGCTCTGGAAGACGGGGAGGCTTTTTATTCTACAAGTGCTTCAATAGGTAGCTATTTAGGTACCTAAAACATAGCACTATATAGCTCCTTTCATTTAAAAAATGTTAACAAAATTTCAAGACGTTCTGTATCTAAAAAATATAAAAAGACCTTTGAGAAAGCACTATACATTAAGACACAAGAAGTGAGGAAATTAAAACTTCATGAATTACCTTCCCAGGGGATATGTCACAAAAGAGAATGCCAAGCTGATGAAGATGATGTAGTCCAGTAAGCAGGTCAATTCCAAATTCTCTCACAACATCTTCTGGGAGGTTTTTATCTTGAGCAATAACCGTTTCTAAAGAACCACCTGAAAGAGGATTAAAATTTGAACCCAGCCACATTACACAGTGCCCCTGGGTGGTTCCTGGCTGGGAGATACTGAGCATTAAAAAAATGATCCAATCAGGGGCTGGCCAAGTAGCTCAGTTAGTTAAGAGCTTGAGCTCTGAGCAACAGGGTCACCAGTTCGATTCTCACATGGGCCAGTGAGCTGCGACCCAGCTGAGCTGCCAACAGGTGGCAGGATGGTTCAGCTGGCGAGTGCACATGCTCCTAACAACAAGGTTGACTCCCACATGGGATGGTGGGCTACACCGCCCACCAGAAACTAAGATTGAACACGGCACCTTGAGCTGAGCAGCCGCGAGCTGCTGATGTGGGGCCAGGTGGCAACTGGACTTGGGGCTGAACTAGCTGCGCCCTGCACAAGTAAGACTGAAGGACAACAACTTGGCTGTTCCCCTTCCCCAATTCCCCAACACTGTTCCCATTCCTCAATTCCCCAATAAAATCTCTACCATCTAAGTACCAGAAACAAATTTTTTTTAAAGGGTCAACATTACAACAGGAGCCAAGTTCAGAAAACGTGAAGTCTTAGCTGGCATCTGAAAGTTCAATCAGAATTACTGTGATTAAAAATAGGAGGTATTTTGGGGTTTATTTTGTTTTGGTGGATGAGGAACCACTCCAAACATAGGCATAAATTAAAGTTATGCTATTACACTGGCCAGGGGTCAAAAACAACATTGAGGCAAAAAGTAATACAGAGAAAGTTCCCTGATCACCTCAAAAGTACATACATCTATGGAAGTAATTAAAGCACAGTACCTTCCTACTGATTGAAAAATGAAATGAAAAAGTATTATTCCAAATAGCCTCTTTTATGATTCAGTTGTATAATTCAAGTGCCAATAGGAAAAACTCATAAAGCTAGAAATAATTTCAACATACCTTTAAATTTTGTTTTTCAATTATAGTTAACATTCAATTACTTTCAGATGTACAGCATAGAGGTTACATATTTATATAACTTACGAAGTGATTCCCCCCGTAAGTCTAGTACATGCCTGGCATTATACACAGTATTACATTATTATTGACTATATTCCCTATGTTGTACTTTACATCCCCATGACTATTTTGTAACTGCCACTTTGTAATTACATATCCTAATATTTAATGATCCTTTATGTACTCAGTGTACAAACAGAAGTACACTCACAGTGGTACTTGTTACATTTTTTTCCCCTGAAGACACTGAAACAAAAAGCCCAGATAATATCTATGTATTTAGTCACCTCTCTTCTTGTGTATAGTTCTAGAAAGTTGTATCAAGCAAGAGCTATAACATGTTACCTCTAATTATTCCTAGGTGGTAGTATTTGTTGGTTCATCCTTGTACTTTTCCACATTGTGTGTTTATAAAAAGTATCTTGTGCATAAAAATAAAAAGATCATTTTCTAAACTAATAAGCTAATAACTGGTTGACCAAAAATACTTTTTTTTTTAAATGGAAAAATTCTTTTGATAAATTACTACTAAAAAATATTTCTGAATTTTGATGTGGCTTAGTAATATTTTATATCAAAGTAAAGTTAACCCAAAATTGAATTTTACGTAAGTCTTCCTCTTACCAAATGTCTTTGCTCTTTACCCTTCCCTAACAGCCATCAGATTTTCAAGTTAACAGAGTCAACAGCATCAACACTATTTATATTTTCAAAGGAAGAAAGAAAAAGAACAAAACCTACATCCTGCATTTTTTCAAAACTACATAGGGTGCTTACCTGTGCAGAGTTCCACTACTAGCCAGAGATGATTGCTGGTTTCATACCATTCATGAAAAGTTACAATATTCTTGTGTTTAATTTCGTGAGTGAGACGGACCTATGAAAACACAAAGCTTTCACGTTGAAAAAGACAAGTTCTTAAAACCCTTGTATCTATTAAAAAAACAAAAAACAAAAAAAACTGAATACACAATTATGAAATGGATAAGAAAACAGTGGAATTCATTTGGTGGAATTCTATATACACATCAAAATGATGGTTATGAAGGCTGGCCACATGGAAAAATGCTAATTTAGCATGCAATCTTAAAAAGGATTTTAAAAAAAAAGAAAACTTGTGCTACACAGTTTTGTGTATTTGTGTAATTATAACATTGCAAAAGAAATATTCATAGGAAAATGGCCAGAAGGTATACATCAAAATAGCTGTTCTTATGAGCAGAACTACTGGTGTTAAACTTAATTCTTTGTATTTCTCTCCTTCTATTTTCTATATTAAGTTCACACTGCTTTTAAAATCAGGATAAAAGAAATAGTTATAAAGGAAAAAACCTTTACTAAGTAAAACAACCTAAATGCTCAGTAATATAATAATTAAGTTATATATCAACTTACAAAACATTAAGCCAACATTAAAATGTTTATTCAATTTTATAGCAATATGGAAAAATGAGTGTTATAATGTTAAGTAAACAAGGCAAGAAACAAAATTTTATATAATTAGAAAAAAATTGTAATTCATAGAAGAAAAAAAAAAAGTCTACAAGAAATAAACCAAAACAGAACAGTGATTGTCTTGAGGTAACAGAAAAATGCTATTTTTTTTTTCTATCCATTTTCCTATATTGTCCAAATTTTCTGTAATGATGATGCGGTACTTTTATAATAGTTAAAAGAACTCTCAAAGGATTCTACAATTTTCTTCTTAAAAACACTCTTAGTGACACCTGAAACTAAA